GGACATGGCCTACATACATTTAGTTTATATATATATATATATATATAAACACTTTTTTGATGAGAGTGCCACCCTCTGCCGCGGTCCCCCCCCGCCGGCACGATTCCCTGCGTGGCTGGCTCTTGCGGCGCAGCTCCCTGTGGCGCTGTCACCTGCGCCGACCCGGAGAGTTCCGGCGCTGCGAAGAAAAAATCGTAGCACAGTGAAAAGGCACGACCAGCCCAGAGATCTGAGGATCTGATTTCTTCGATTCGGCGCTTTTTCCTGGATTTCGGCCTCCAGGGGCCCGTGATCGGGCCCAGGCACTATCACGAAGGTCGGATCCAGACGAAAAACCACACCTGGGGAATGGGTCGGGACCTCTGGGGCAGCGGAGTGGGAAAAATGTATCGGCGGATGTCTGGTGGGAGGGCCCCGGATCCCTGCGCCATTCCCAGAGGTCCGAGGCTCGGACAAAAAGTGGAGCGGCTGGTTTTCGGCTGTGTTCGACCTTCGGGGGGGCCCTCAGCGGGCCCCGGGGCCGTCCACAAATGACTCGGGACGAGCAGCTGGACCTCTGGGAGGGCAACGTTTTGAAAAAGTCACGGCGCTGGATGTCTGGGACGTCACCCCCGTCCCTCCCCCCACGACGACGATGACGACGAGGACGACGAGGACGACGACGACGACGACGACGACGACGACGACGACGACGACGACGACGACGACGACGACGACGACGACGACGACGACGACGACGACGACGACGACGACGACGACGACGGCGCTCGACGACAACGCTCGACGACGACGGCGCTCGACGATAACGCTCGACGACGACGACGACGACGACTACGCGCCCCTCCCCCCGAAGCGAGGTGCGGCTCCGCGACCACCTGCAGGCCCAGGCGGGGCCGCCTTCCTTGGGCCTTCTCTCGCTGCTGCACTGCTGCTGCTGCTGCTGCTCCCCCATCCTCCTTCTCCTCTTCCCTCCCTCCTCCTCCTCCTCCTCCTCCTCCTCCTCCTCCTCCTCCTCCTCCTCGTCGTCCTCGTCCTCGTCATGTTCCTCCTCCTCCTCCCTCCCTCCCTCCCTCCCTCCTCTCGTCCCTCCCTCCCTCCCTCCCTCCCTCCCTCGCTCCCTCCTTTCACTCCCTCCCTCTCTCCCTCCCTCCCTCCTTCCTCCCTCCCTCCTCCCTCCCTCCTCTTCGACCTCTTCCGCCTCTTGCTTTTCGTCGCCCCTCTCCTTCTCCTTCTCCTCTCATTTCTTCTCCTTCTCCTTCCCTCCCTCCCTTTTCCTCTCACTCCCTTTTCCTCTCACTCCCTCACTTCCTCCTCCTGATCTTCGTCGCTCTTCTCTTCCTCCTCTGCCTCCTCCTCCTCCTTCTCCTCGTCCTCCTTTCTTTTGGCGTCAGGCGAGCATTAGGTGGGGCTCTTCCCCCTGCTTCTCCTGCTCCTCCTCCTCCTCCTCCTC